TTCAGCCTCGTAAGACCAAGCTGGAATATGTTTTACGTACACATGTTAGAAGCGAATACTAGATATGGATAGTCTATCTTGTTTTAGTAAAAGATAGATGCAAATAGAGGTGACAGGACAAAGAACCTTATGGCTCATGCGAACAGAAAATAATTTAGGGTCGATAAAAGTTACTCAGATAACACCATGTAATCTATAGAAGAAGTGTCTCATGATCACTTACGCTCATTTAGTAAATTACATAACAGGATTAGCCTTCATTAGATCATGATTTGTCAATGGCTCGTCTAATAAGTCAAGGTACGAAGGTATTTTAGTCAGGTAAAATGCTTACAAAGAGATTTAAATGTAAACTAATCAGAGTGAAGCACAAAATAGATCAAACACTGCCGAGCAGTTCCATACTATGACGAAACGGCCGTACAGTGCTTCCAGGTTTTTCAATGGTCTGGCTTAAATCGACCCGTGAATTCAACTTGTAAATTAAGCAAGTCTGATTAACAAACATTACGCCTAAATAAAATTTCTATCGGAAGTAAATACAAATAACGACTAATTATTAAAAATATCTCTAATTTAGAGAAATGTGAAAACAGGCACGAGTGTAATCTTTGGCAATACACAAAGATTTAGTAAACAAATGGATACCTAAACATTGATTAGCTCGAAAATATGACGAAATAATATATCCACTTTTGTCTTATGTCTAAACGTTTATAAAATAGATTACATTAATTGATTGAAATATTGATGATGAATATTTGGTTTGGAGACAGTAGGCTATATCAAATAACAAACAGTGTATAGATCAACATGCGTTTATTTCTAAATTTAACAAAAGTCTACTGGTTAAATATGAACCTATTATAGTCAATGCTTAGATTAAAAATGATCAGTAGCCATCTCTATATTTTCATTCTGAATAAATGGGAGCTTTTGACAGAAGGCTGTATGGAAGTAGTGCATAAAATTCTATTGAATAAGCGAGTAACAATCTGAAATCAGTAGTTCGTTAGACAACATGCTACATTTTGAAGCAATAGGTACTTTGTTGGAGTCTCAGTATGGATAACAACATAGCGATGTGAATATGTCTATCTGACGAGTCCCAAGCAGTCCAATAATTACGTTATCCCTTAACAAATGTTGAACATATACATTAAATAAATTGAATAATTATTTACAATTCATTCTAAACACTTTGTGATATTTGGAAGTATCATCATAAAATACATTTTATTTTGTATAAATAACAAACTAATCAATAGATTTGGCCTTTCTTTCCAGTGCAATTATTTTTACTATAATTTCATTCACCTGATTTTGGACACTGACTTTTCTTCCACATTTCTTTTCTGAATACATGATATCATTGTCATATTTTACATACATTATCCATCTACCAAATACAATATGTTTGGTTTTTTCTATGATTCTCATCATTTTTATCAGTGATCATCAGATTCGATAGAAGAAAAATGTTATAAGCTGAATTGTCTGAATCCCTTATGGATGTGAATGTGTGTAACCTTTAGTTAATAATGTTGCTTTGGTTGTAAGACGTCTATTAACAATGATATTAATAACATTATCAATTGTAGGATATCTTTTAAAAACTGTTTATTAGTTTGAGAATCGATATTTTTTGCAGGTGTATCTCACGTAGCCATGCATAGTCCGCTTAAGAATAATACTACAATTTGTGGAATGCTTTATTTCGCTTAGGTTTTTATAGTTTCTAGTCATGAGAACAGCTGAAAAAGTTATTTGCCTATCATGAAACAGTACTTCATACGTAAACTGTAAATATAGTGGTGATAACAATAATAGTAATAATAATACAACTATTATTATTATTATTATTATTGTTGGTGATCTGACCTATCATGCAATCTAATCAGGTTATTTATAGTCTAAAATTAACACACAGAGAACTATAAAATGAAGTTATTATTGCTTTTTTCAGTACCTACTGACCAATAAATTGTATTGCGTAATTTGAGAGACAAAAAGTGATTCTTAATGTCTCTTGTGATTTCGACAAATATCGCAACTATTTACCATTTCTGAATAATCACTGTATGAAGTACCATCCATTTTGTCAACTTTTCTTCAGGATCCAAATTTGTAGTTTATTCAAGGTATGTGACGCAACTAATATCTCAATAAACGAATTCAAATACATTTAAGTGTGATAAAAATGCTGACCAGTTTAACCGAGATGCAATATTTGATTTTTGATCTGGGCCTTCTACTCCATATTTAACCCAACTGTTGCTTGTCTGGGTCCTAAAGTCAATCAAGTCTTATTTTCAAGTTGAATTATTAGCGTTTTACTGGTTTCTCCTTAAAATTTGAAGCTTATCTGTGAAAAATAGTCTCTAGACTTACTACATATATTGAATCCGCATACTAACAAGTTGCTTTTGAATAAACTGTTGAATTTTTGGTGCAAATTGATGATATAATCAGAGTTAACAATGTGCCAAGTTTACGTTCTTGTTCATGGGTGGAACTTGTCAAGAATTGAGTAACTGTATTTATACTTACATGCTAAATCTGAAGTTTTAAGGCTAGTAATGTTTTGTGGCTATTTAAACCAGGGTACTAAGAGTAAGATTTGATCTCATCAACAGAGTTGCGCGTTAAAACCAAACGTATCAGATTCGAGTCCCCTCGGGAACATCAACACTAAGATCCAGGTGAATTACGTTGACGTAGTCGAAACAGAACTAAACATCAATCTACAGTCAGAAATAACCTATCTGTCATCCCCTGGTTTAAAGTCTAGATTGAACAGAACCACCAATTTACAGCTTCATAAATAACTCCAAATTTCAGTTAAAATATTAAGTCTATCACTGGTTATTAATATGTCCATACATAATGGATGATGTAAATTGGGTCGAGGCCATTGTCATGATGTTAAACTAATGGTTATGGTAATATAGTCTGTACAACTTTACAAATATCAAAATTAGTCGGTAAAGTCTAAAGTTGTTGATTCACAAGTGTGTTTCATATATTTCGTTGCTTTAGTGAGACCACAGATTAAAAAAGTATCGTTGTTCAGAAATCAATGGTAAATAATATAAGCTAATTACCTGATGACTTCGTAAACGTAAATCAATGTAATAACTCAGACTTATATATATAATTGGGAGTCTACACTTTTAGAAGTATACAGTATCTTCAAGCATACCCTAATGAATAAATAAAAGTCTAAGACTGTTGACAAGCGTTGATTTATGATGTTACTGGGTTACAGTTTGAGCCATATAGGTTTCATGGTTGACGTTCTGAAGACGTTAAATGCCACTGGTTCAAGGTTTTAATAAAATGATTCAAAATTAATTAAAATTATCCAGTTATACCTAGTCTTCCTCATCTAATGACCAAATTCTAGTAGTCTATTAAATTATCCAATATTCGTACAGAATGTTTGTGAAGACTGTTAAACAAACTGACGTAAGCTAGATAACTGCTGGAATCCAGGAATCACTGAATGAATGTTCCTTCCTAGTATATGACTTCTTAGCTGTACACATTCACTAGTCTAACTGATCAGAATGGACTTTCAAGTTTCGTGGCGAGGTCTTAACTTCAAAACCCCTGATCTGGAATACAATGGTCTAAATTTCTAAATTCAATCAACCATCTCGGAACCCAGGCAGTTATCTATTGATGGCATTGGAGGATAGTTGATCAAAATCGTTAGTTGTTTGAAGTTAAAAATAAATACTGTTGAAAACTGATCGACTACTCTGAAAATTAAGGACTTGTCAAGAGATTTGAAGATATTGAGTTCGATCCTTTCCTTGGTTGTGGATAAGCCTCGATAAGGAGTCTGTTACTAAAGCAAAACAGCTATATGGTATCATTTATACTAAATAGAAATATATAATTGAATGCAAACATTTTTACTTATAAAGCACAATCACAATATCTGATTTTTAGTGTTGAAAATATCCTTGAAACTTGAAATACATATATAATCTTATTTGCTTATTTCATCGTTTTTAACATTGAAAACACTACACGACTTAGGTTTTCCATATATCCTATTCTCAAAACTATTTTCTAATAATATTTAAAGAGTACTTTAATTTATTGCTTTGAAAACAAATGTTACTGGTCGAAACTGCTTTTTTCGATTGTATGGTCTGACATATTACTTGAATTTAATTATTTTGTACTGTTAAGACATGTTATTACCTTATTGAATATTAATGACATCAAAATATGTAATAAAGTTGTATTTTTGCATCTTTTAATTGGACAAATGGAATTATAGGTTACTGATTTCCTGTGGATGGAAAGATGGAATTCGACTTGATTGAATGTTTAATTTATCTCGGGTATATTTTCCCGAGAAATTATTGAATAACTATGTATTCATAATTCTAAAAAAATTCTAAACCCATGTTTTGTAACTTCTAACCATAAAGACATGAGTAAAAAATTTGCTAACTAGATTATTTTTTTGTTTGGAAGACACATAAAATAACAAACCAAAATAAGCTTAACCACTGAACGTTTATTTGTCACGTTTTCTTGTTCTAGACTAGCTCATTTCATGAATCTATCTTCCCTGATCTGTCTGTGAGTGTATAGTCTTTTGAAATTTCTGACAACCCTTGTTGTTGAGAAACGGTCTGTACATATATTAATATTTGAGAATTAACATAGAGAATGTAGAGTGAAGATAAATTTGTTCTTGAAAATACCAATCCAATGCCTTCCGTTTTGGGTCGTTTTTTTAAGGTAAATGTGGAAAGTGTCTAAGAACTACTCTTATAAAATCCATTCATTACAACTTTGTTGCTCAGAATAATTGTGTTCTATTATTCTGAAGTTGAAGATGGATTATAGTTGTTCCTTTAGATAGTGTCATCTTCACCTTTCTTGAAGTTAATAAGAAGAAATAACTTAACATAGTAATATATATATACTCGAGCATTCATTTATTCTGTCCTCCACCTTTTATTTGTTAATTTTAGACTATCAATATGAAGAATTTGTGGTACATTCAAAAATGCTTCCAATAATGCAACGATCGACATGGGTGCATATTGATTTGCCAGGTCAAGGAGATGGTGAAGAAGAACTACCATCAAAGTAAGAAAGAATTTTATTCACTTTTTAATATTTATTAAGAAATCATATTTAAAAACTAAACAATAAAAAAGAGTACTTTTATTACGAGTCAGTCAATTGTATGTAACGTACAACTTGTTACATATGTACATTTGTTCAAAATGCCACATCAAATTAGCATATTGTCAGATTAGTAGAAGTAACAACAGTATCAGCAGTATTGGAAGTAATTAGGCATAGAAGAAATAAGTACAGGAGGAAATATGGGTTCATGAAATTTAAAAATCTTAAACCAACTTGGAAACCTAAAATTTAATGATGAACGAATAGTGAATGCACCTATTTCATTGTAAACGGTTCTGAACACATCATTTAAAGTGTCTAGCCATTTGTTAGGATAATCATACGGACTCAAATCAGGTAGTATCCAATTACCTACATGGTTTATTTCAAAAAAATGCATGAACTGACACCATATATTACTTTCACCGCGCCTAGATTTTCCTGCAACTTCTTCCTAAAGCAGCTAACTACTAGTATCAAGGTAGGGGATAATCGGGTGTGCCTAATACTTGTCCAGAATACCTCAGGAGATACAAATAAGGACTAAATACCTTATCAATCAATTTTTCATCATTATCTGGTACCTTGTATTTAATCTCAGCAATGCTTCCTACATGGATTCAATATGTCTACGAGATGCTTCAAAGGCATCTATGATCAAGTAATAGTAAGTAACGGCTATCCATTTTTAAAAGCCTCTCTTATGCTGTAGAAAACTGTATGACTTTTCATAACAATCTCCTGCTTTCACATAGAAAAGACGTTGATCTAATGTGGTGATTATATGGCTAAATAACTTCCCGAAGTAATTAGTCAGTTAACAGTTATCACATAGCACGAGCAAATATATATTTATTGAAGTTTTATTTTCAGTTATTGTTTCTGTTCTTTTCTTTTCATTTTAAGAAAAATATCACTTGACTAAAAGCCTATACCCTATTGCTAATACATAAATTAATGTTTTCCTAATAGAAATTTAATTCTTTTCATCAATTTAAGCAAATTATGCTATATGATGAATTTATTCTTCTAATGAAACAGTGAGAAGGCAAACGTGATCTGAATAGTCTTTTCATTTCAAAAATTTTTATTATTTATAAATAATTTGAATTTAAAATAGTTCTTCGTGACCATTTTAAAACAACTGAGCATGAAAGGAATACTCTGGTTATACCAAACAATATTAGTCTGATATTAAGCTAATGTAATCTATAGGTTTAAAGATTAAGACAGGTTTTTTACTGTTATACACTCATCAGTAGTCTCTACCTTTAATTTTAGAGGGAAATAATATCATAAATAGATTTGAATTTGCGTCATCCATTATCGGAGTCAAACGCTTATTTTTGCTCTAATCGATCAATCAACAATAACAAATTCTATGTTGTGTGATCTGTAATTTTGATCACCTTGAATAAAAAATATTGGGATACTTGATATAAACATAAATTTCTTGACGATTTCACCCGTATTATTATTAATAAGGGCTGACCAATAGAGAATTCATGTAGTTAGTTTACTGGGAGGGAATTTTGTAAGTGATCTACAAAGCTCAAGTAGTGTTAGGAAAAGTACAATATATTATTAGTTACTAATCAGTAACTGATTACCGAGATATATCCATGTTGACCCATATCCAGCCAGTATTACTAATATGTTCTCACAAAGTACTTTGAAACGAAATTTACATCCAGTTTCCATAGATTTCCATATAATTCATATCTATGCGGAACCAATCTCATGATAGTGTAATGATTAGTTCCCGCTGGTCTATATGATATCAGATTATCAGTTTACACACTTGTAAATAATAATCGTTTTAAGAAAACCTTGATTATTTCTTGATTACCATACCATGTGATTATTTCATTATAGTTTCTTATCTGTCATTTGATAAGTGGAAAGTTGGTTATGCGATTGAGTTACTTGAATAAATGTTACATCATGTCAGACATTTTTGTATCAGAGATAGAAAAATTAAATTCACCGTCCTTCTTAACTTTAAAATAATTCTGATTTCTACGCCTAACTAAACAGGATTAAATCACTTTTAAATATTCATTACCACCAATAAGTCTTTAATATTCTTCTAAATAAAGTGAGAAGGACAAAACTTGGAGAATGACATAAATTCAATATACTTCAATGCTTATCATAAACCAACAAACAGCCTAAATTTACACTGGTAATGTTATTATAAACCATTTATTACATACCATAATCAACGAAGCTTAATTGGAAATGACATATTAGAAAAACTAAACGACATATTTAACATAATAGTTAACATTTGTTAATATTGTAGTGTATGCTACTTGTTCTGACAGATATAATTAGTATGTAGCACCAATAGAAAAATGAATGACTGATAGCAGAACATTAAAATGAAGAGAACAGAAAGGAAATCGGAGAGCAATAAAAATGACAACAGAATTAGAAGAATAATGGAGTGGGATATATTCCTGATTTTCATATTTTACGAAGACACTCTGTAATTTTGCGTAAAATGATAAATTGGTTCGCCCTACCTGAGTTCTCGTTCACCACAGTACTTATTCATTGAAGGCGAAATTATCTAAGGAAAGAAGCGAAATTAAGAGTGTTAATAAAATGTATAAAGATTTAATACTATTCAGAATGTTTTTGCAAGAAATTTTACTTAAACAAACGTACACTTTAACGGACAACATATACACTAAATACACAAACTTGCACAATACTGTTCAACAGTAATCAGAAAAGATAACGTGCTGAAGGAACAGAAGATATATCTTGAAAATATACACTTGAACCTTGAAAAAGCACGAACACTCTGGCAAATTATGTAGGTTATCAAGTTGAAACATTGAATCATTTGTAATTACGAACTAAACGGGATAACACAATTTCGTAGTTATTTCTTTTAAGTCCATAATATGTGTAAATTATTGTTACCGAACTCAATGTCATTTTTGTGATTTGTTAAACAATGGTGATAAATCAAACTGTGAGAGTAGATTGTAAAACAAATATCACTAATGAAAATGGATGATTTTCATATAGTGTTAAGAAAGAAAATATAAGTTAAGAATATAAACCACCTAAAGTTGACTCAATATTCTGTAGGTTAAACACTCACTATAAAGCCTAAAGATCTTGGATTTAATCCTAGGTGAATTCGTGAACACATACTGGTGAATAGTCCCATAATAAGACAAAACGTTTGTTTAGTAATTCCTGATTTTTAATAATGGTTGTACTAAAACCATTCGGTGAAGTAAAACTACAAAATACATGGAATGACACCTGCAAACGAGCAATACTATTTTCGATTTGATCATCAGCTTTTAGTATAATGCACAGAATCAATATTTATATATGTGCATGATAAATATTAAATCAATCAAACAAGTCTATGTGTTAATGATAATAACCAAGTAGATTACATAACTTAATATAACAACTATGCATTCATTTGTATTGATTGCTTGAATTCTCCAATTAATGTATTAGAATACTACTCATTAGCCTCTTTTGGCTAGCTGTGGAACAGACCGCCGGCTATAATCTTACTCTGTTTATAATGTATGAGACTTAATGGCAATCCACATAAAATGCACATATGCCAAAAGAGAGTGATCGATTGCAGTCTTAAAAATCAATGGGAAAATTCGAAAATCCAATACAATGACGACATGAGTTTCAAATAAACTGAGCATTGGATAGACAGTTATTGATAAATAAATTTTTTGTTATATCTCAATGAGTAGAAAAATTGTATTGCTGACGTTTTGTGACTCTGAAGAAGTGGCTTACGTCAAGTAACGAAACGCGAGATGCAATTTTTCTACTCACTGAGGTAAAACAATAAGTATATTTATTACTGACAACTTCAGTTTGTCTGAAATAACAAACTAATACTCTGCGATGCAGGCACATCCTGCATGTGAGCCTCAAATAGGTTGAAACGCGTGTTCAAGATTCCAGTGCTAACCACCATCTAATTCTGCTTATAACAAGTAAGAATTATAAGTTGGTAATAAGATGACAGGTGTGATAACAAAGTTCCAATATGGAAATTAGTCCAAAACTTAGAGAAATTGACACCGAAATAACAGTCATTAAAAATAATTAAAATTCCGTGATAAGAAATGTTCAAAGAATTAGACCGTGAAGAATATACTGGAGAAAGAAGTGAAGAAAAGCATACGAATAAAGGACGTGGAAAACAGTAATGAGAATAATGATTGGAAAAAAAATTGTTTGTAAAACCACATCTGAATTAGCAAGGGACATAGGTGTAGTAATTTTTTTCAATAGAATAGGCTTGTTGATTAGAATCCTACAGATTATGGTTTATGGGGGAGACTAAACTTTATCTATATAAGACCCATGTTGATTAAGTTGGATTAAATGGAGCAATGTATTGTCGTGGACTTACCTTTTTCCAAACCACGGGAGGAGATTTTCACTCATTCGTTGTTTAAATTGCCTGATAGTAAGCCCAATAAATTGACTGACATCTAGAAATTAATATAAAACTTCACACAAATACTTAGTTTGATAAGCTTGTAAGGTAAGAATAACAAACATTGAAGAATGAAGTGAATTTATTACTCCACACTTTTCAGATGCACAATAAGTTTATTAACATGGCGTTTCTTAAGCTTTTATACCATCTATCTCTTGAAAACAATAATTCAACTGAATCGTATTTCTTTATTTCCAGTTAATAGATTTTATTATAGTTGACAGAATTATTTTAAACATGATTCATTATTTGGAAAATCCTTTAGCTCTCCAGCAATTTAGTCACTCAGTTATTTAAACCCCTGAATTTTCATACCATGCTACAATGTTATAATCATCAGTAAAGTATTTATGTAGATTATTGAGTTATATAGTTTATATCAAGGGCTCACTTTAGTTGGACAACTATTAAGAAACACTAGTTATGGGACGTGTGTTTCGTCCTAGTA